AGCTCTCAGCGCATCCTACAGGCTGAAGAGTGTTCATTATTAATGCTGTCTGCGCTGTACAGCATACACACACACACACACACACACACACAGTCATTTACACTAGAGAGCAGATATACTGCAGATAAACCCCGTCACCAACACGAGAGAGAAACCAGAGATGAAGCAGCAGAGATCAGGAGCTGCTGAGGAGATCTTCTGCAGCGCTGTAATGAAGAAGAGGAGCTGTGCTGGAGGAAGATGGCGGACGGCGGATGCTGATTGGCTTAGCTGAGAAGGGGTGTGGCCAGAGCCTGATAGATAGAGGGAGACTGTGTGTGTGTGTGTGTGTGAGCTGCGCTCTACATCCCCCCTCTCCCTCTCTCTCTCTCTCTCACACACACACACACACACACACACAGACAGTGTGTGCATCCTCTTCTGCAGGAGCTGCTTTATTCCTGAAGTCAGGCGCAGAGGACAGACTTTGAATCCGCAAACCAGCCTTCAGATGATGAGGAAGAGGCATCGATCATGAGGAGGGAAATGCAGAAATGAGGGATCACAGCGATCACACAGCCGATGCCGAGCAGCAGCAGAACAGGCTCCATATTCAAGGCGGAAATCTTCCTTGGCGATCGCTGTAAAGCTCGGAGACGTGCGCTTCATCTGTATTCAGCATCGTCCTCATCTTCATCATCCTCTTCTTCATGGTCTGCAGCTTCAGCAGGTGTGCAGGTCACAGAAACACTGGAGAATCCCTGCAGGACGGCCGAGGCCTGATCACAGATCAGCGGACACCAGCTGCGCATTCAGAGGAGGAGGAGAAGAAGAAGAGGAGTCTCCAGCGGGACTCAAACATTAATCACTGCAGGAGTTACTGAGCCTCGGGTTATTGATAGGAGAGGGTTCGGGTTATTGATAGGAGAGGGTTCGGGTTATTGATAGGAGAGGGTTCAGGTTATTGATAGGAGAGGGTTCGGGTTATTGATAGGAGAGGGTTCGAGGTATTGATAAGGTCAGGGTTATTGAGTGATTGATCGAACATTGAACAGTGATGAGGCTCGGCTCTGGCCTGCTGTCCTCACACTAGCGCTGGGTTTCTGGACCATCTTCTCGAGGTTCTGTCTTTAAAGATGTGAACTGCTTTTCAACAGTAAAGCCCAAAAGAACAAACAGACATGTTGGATCTTTAAGGTCAGCGGGCGTGAGCTCTTATACTTGCTTGTTGATTGCATTTCTGCTCTGTGACCCCGGTGTTGTAAAAGTGGGGATCATCTGGCCCCTGGGGGTCCGGGCTGCGGCCCCGGCTCCAGCCCCAAACCCTAAGATGCGGCGCTCGAGTACGGACGAAACCCCGTACCGCCGCAGCCCGTCTCTGGACAGTAAGTCGGGGTCGCCGCCTCTGCGCTACAGCGGCGAGTACGAGTACCACAGCTCGCCCTTCGTCTTCGGCCTGCGCACCACACCCGGCCCCAAGACTAAAGCCAACTACACCAGCGCGCAGGGCAGGAAATATGTGGTGTTTTACCTGGATCTGTCCTTCATCTTCCTTCTAGAGCTGCGGCGTTGCAGGATGGCGGAGGGCTGTCTGCGGGCGCTGCGATACGGAATGGTCTTCTTCAATCTGCTCTTCTGGGTGAGTCAATATACTGATTATTCTCCTCTGAATGTGCTTTATTATTATTGTTCTTGTCTGTCATTCTGCTCAATTTATTCTGCCGTGGAAACACAGATGCTTCACAAACACACAACAGCAGCTCACGCTTTTGTCAAGCTCCAGAAATGACCAGAACACCGTAGACGTGTACAGTGCGGGATAGATTAGTGCGGTAGTGAATATGCATATGCAGGTGTTGCTGGTCTTGGTGTAATAGATCTGCTCCGCCGCTGCTGCAGCTCTGATTATTGGTGTGGAATCGAGACCTACTGCTGCCAGTATATTCATGCTGTCTGAGTGTAATACACACTTCTACTGCAAACACACAACATTCATCAAACACACTGCGGATCTACACACAGCTGAGGAGGAATCTGCAAACACAGCGAGGGGCTAATATGGTTTACACTACACTACACTGAGGTATTACTCTACACTACACTGAGGTATTACTCTACACTACACTGAGGTATTACTCTACACTACACTGAGGTATTACTCTACACTACACTGAGGTATTACTCTACACTACACTGAGGTATTACTCTACACTACACTGAGGTATTACTCTACACTACACTGAGGTATTACTCTACACTACACTGAGGTATTACTCTACACTACACTGAGGTATTACTCTACTCTACACTGAGGTATTACTCTACACTACACTGAGGTATTACACTACACTACACTGAGGTATTACTCTACACTACACTGAGGTATTACTCTACACTACACTGAGGTATTACACTACACTACACTGAGGTATTACTCTACACTACAGTGAGGTATCTCAGTGCTCTTCTAGATGTGCTGAGCTGCGGTGATGAATACTGACATGTTTAAACTGTGGTCCTTTAGCCGAAGTTAACCCTGTGTTTATTTCTAAAAGCAGAGCTGTAACCGTGAAATAAGAGCTCATTTTCCCCGCTGAGGGTAATTATAGCTTTCTGTCCAGCACGCGCTGTCTACACCCTTTGTTTAAATAAATGCTATATAAAAAGCAATTCATGGCAACATACTCAAACAAACAAAACTTAATGCCATAACACTAATGCTGGCCATGGAGAGCTAGACTGCTCTTACTGACGTACACTGTCTGGTTCTGTTGAGAACAACATCAAATGCAGCACATGAAGAAACACAGCTTATGAAGCAGCAGAGACATTATGCATTATCTGAGAAATGATTTATATTCTGAGGAAGCAGTGTGACCTTGAAAAGAAAAAAAATAAAGAGAAAGAAAAGCAAAGACTGGTCCAGGGTTTACTGCAGTAAATGTACTGTACGTCTGACTGCAGAGTTACCCAAACAGACACTGGCTGCTTCTGGACTGAGTCGGTCTCTGTTAGGGTCATTGGACCTTAGATTCTGTAATATTATATACGTATTCTATATATTATTACATCTGTATTATATACAAGATTATGACATCTATAATAGAGTGTGATTCTCTGACTGAGCCGTACAGTGATGCACACGGTGAATGATGTAAACTGGACGTCTGTAGTCGAATGCCTCTGCCTAACACTTCTGTAATTCTGTCTGATCAGAGATATCTCTCACAGCTCAGTTGACCCATTAAACGGCTAAATCATCCTCAACACTTGCCCTGTGTTCCACCGGCTTCAGAAGACAAGAGGAGAACAGGACACCATCCTAAATCTGCATTCAGAGATAATGTGGCCTAAAAACCGTATATTCCTCCTGGTCCGCTGTCTGTGTTGCCATGGCAACTGTGTTGGTTCAGGTTCCTCCAGCAGCGGCGGTTTAGGCTCAGAGTTCCTGACGCGGGTTCTGCTTCTTGTTTAAGCTGAATATGAACAGCTGCTGTGTGAACTGATTTTAATAAAGCAGCAGTCCCTGCAAACATCCTCATATGAGCCCAGCGGGTCCTGTTCATCTCCTCCAGTAACTCTGACAGTGTGTTATTGTCCAGGATCTCATGATGAAGCCGAGTCCATTACAGATCAGAATATTCACTCTTACATTCACATTATTCCTGCAGCAGAGAGTTTCTCCACAGCGACTCTGATATGAGGACAGCAGAAGCTCCTGAATCAGCAGAACATCAACATGTAGCTCCAGTGTGGAGTCCAGAGTGATGCGCTCCTCCATGAGTGTCCTCCAGCTGATACTCTCCTCTGATGCGGGAGTAATCCACCGCTCGGGCTGGGTTAGGGGTGGGGAACAGGTGTGGGTTACAGTCCCAGCAGAAATGATGTTGCAGGATCAACACAGATGTTAAAGCAGGACCACAGCACACACACTTACACACACACACACACACACACACACACACCTGAAGAGGCACTCACAGCCCCTAATGAAGACACAAAGCACAGAGCAGTACACTAACAAGAGCAGAAAGCAGAGAAGGGGAAGAGGAAGATAACTCAGAGCCAGAAGAGCAGGTGTAGAGCAGCGGGAGCAGGAGAAGATCCAGCACTGACACACACACACACACACACACACAAAGCCCTTCTTCATCAAGTCCGTGTGTGTGCAGGTCTGCTTCAGTGTGTGTGTTCAGGTGTTCTTCAGTGTGGTTTTAGCATGTGTGTGTGTGCAGGTGTCCTTTAGTGTGTGTTCAGTGTGTGCTCTGTGTATGTGTGTGTGCAGCTGTGCGGCTGTGGGATTCTGGGAGTTGGAGTGTGGCTCTCCATCACGCAGGGAAACTTCGCCACACTCTCGTCCTCGCTGCCGTCGCTCTCCGCCGCTAACCTGCTGATCGCCGCGGGCACCGTCGTCATGGTGATCGGCTGTCTGGGCTGCGTGGGTGCGGTCAAGGAGAATCGGCCACTGCTGCTCAGTGTAAGTATACACACACACACACACACACACACACACACGTGAGTCTGCCGGATTCTCTGAGGCTGGAGCTGGACGGGTTTATTGGAGATGAGCACATGCTGAAGAGGAAAGCAGAACTCCTCCTGAACCCTAAGCTGAAGACCTCCCACACTGTAAAAAATTGCTGTTAAAAAACGGTCAGATTCTACGGTAAAATAATGTTTTTTCACTAAAACAGTAATGTTCTGTTAAAAACAGTGCTTTCTTGGTAACATTTTTGTTTTCGAGAAAGTAACCAACTGCAGAAAACTGTGAGCTAACAGAGTTCAGATTCGATGTTTTGAAGTCTGTGTTTAAAATCACGCTTTGTGCCCTTGTTCACTATTTCATACACTAGTTAACTAATATAGTTCACCTGACAGTTTTAATGAACACTAATGAGTGAATTCAGACACTGATGAACACCTGCTGTTAATAATTACAATTACTGAAGAAAATAAACAAGAAATACAAACAGTGACTTGAGTTACAACATTAAATAAAATCAAATAAAATAAAACAGCTTCAGTCTCAGCAGAGGATCATTAAACAACTCCACAAACAACAGCAGACACATGCTTATTACTGACTGATTTGACTGCCATACTATTCTCATTGAGATCCAACAGAAATTAAGGTGTTTTTTGTGTCACCGTAATGGAGTGAGGGGCTGGTTTAGTTGGGCTCTTCACCCTTGAACTTATTAATTCAGACTCTCCAATTACTATAATAAAGAGTTAACAAAATGCTTGTATTATAGCAATTAAGTTGGAAAGTCAATAAATAGAGAAATCTATTTGTCTGAAATTAGTTCTGATAAATGTTTTGTTATAAATCTGGAAGAAGGGCCTCATGCAATAGATTTTATGCTTAGTTGCAGGTATTAATTTAATTAATGAGAAGTGGAAACAGAAAAGATACCTCCGTAATTACTTAACAGTTAAGAAATTACATACAAAAACAGTTCAGTTATGACAATTACATACTCAGACCTCATGAATCTGACCTTGTATCTCAACAATGGTAACACCTCAAATGTTTCATGCTGCAATGCATGCTGGGAGTGGCACGGTACAAATATCCCAGCATGCATTGCGGTATAAATAAATGTTGTATAATGGTCTAACAGTTTTCTTTATTTGTGTTTGATTCTGCTGTTGTTTATGTTTAGACTTTCAGTTGCCTGTTTGTGAGTTAAACTGTTAATTTTGTTAGTCGTCACCATTATTGAGGTTCATATGCTGATTATTGATGTCTCTTTGAGTGCGATTTACACCATAGAGAAGTATTATTGTCCAAGATATTCTTAAAAACTTCCAGAAATCCTTGCCATATATATATATATATATATATATATATATATATATATATATATATA